GTTGTATAAGCATCAATAGCATGCAATACATCAAGAATATAAACTATAACATCATTTACCTCAATTTGAGATGAAAATTTCAAATCCCCACCAAAAGAAAAGTGCTCTGAATTCGACGATACTCCTAAGTTATGTCGGGGACAACGAGGGAAACAACTTTAACCTTTGAGGTACCATGAAAATCCAAACTTGAACTTGAAACTCGTACTAAAAAAGGGTCAGAAATCGATTCTAAATAAGGGGAAAAGGTAGAGCACGACGAGGTTTACGATAAACGTTAAGGCATGAGACTTTTTACAAAGGAAATCAAGTGGAGTAGAAGAAGAAAAGGTGGTAGCCCAAGGGGCTTCCATGGCTGCCGGCCAAAGAGGGAGGAAGATGATGGAAAAAGTGATTTTTCACTTTAAGACATTCTATTTATAGCAAAACCCTAAAAATGCCCCGAAGGGCCCTGCCGGATTTAGAAAAGTGGAATTTGAGCAGACGGGCTCAAACAGAGAAACTCCGCGAACAAAAAAGAACCGAAATGAGAAAATATGAATAACGGAAGAAACGACGTCTAAAACCGAGTCCCGAGCAGAGAGATATGCCCTAAACAAGTTCAGTAGCAACCGGGGTCAAAAATCCCTAAAACTGGGGAAAAAAACCGGGTGAAAATTCTAAGAGTACACGATTCGATGAAATGTGAAAATGAATCCCGTACAAGGATCCAGGCTCAAAACGGGGTATTTTGTAATAACTTTTGTTAATTGCACAATGGCCCCTCCAAAAAGGGTTAACTGCACTAATGACTCAGAATGAAAATATTTTCCAAAAATATTTTCTTAAAAACCCCTAAAATAAAATATCTCTAAAAGATATTTATGGAAAACACCTGAGAAAAGAAAAAATTTCTGAAGAACTGTGCATCCATGCCCCTATGGACACCGGGAACAAACAGAGTACTTTATTACAAAAGTAAAGATACGTATTTCGTGGAAACCACTTAGAATGAAGATACGTGAAGTCAAAAACCAACTCCGAGAATGAAAAGTGAGGTTGTGCCAAAAAGTTACAAATGGGGAAAAGACAAAATAGGGAAGAGGACGAAAAATGAATAATATCCAAAAAGTAAAAATACGGAAATGACTCGGTCCTTAAAGGAAGTTGTCAATCCAAACGAAAGAGTCTCGGAAACCATTTTCAAGCACTCGAGACAACACTAAGTGACGAGAAACAGAATTTGGAAAAGAAAATTAAACGGAAAAAATTTATTCGTAAAATTTGATAAAAAGGAAAGGAGTGAAAATGACTAGGTCATTACAATCATAAAATCACATATTATATATGTCTAATTTATTTTATATGTTTATTATAAAATCACATATTGTGTGCCTAGTGTAACAACTCGGATTTTTAAGAATTTAAATTATTTTTATCTCATAAATTTTAGTTGTTAGAGATTGATTATTTAATTTTAAATTGACGATTTACCCATTTAAATGATTTAATGGGTTTGATTTTTGTTGTCATAATTAATTTAATTAATTATGATTTAAGGCTTATTTATTGGAGATTTATTATGGAAATTGATTATTTGAGATATTGGGTCTTGAATTTGAGATTTTACCCGATTAATATTTTAATTGGTTTTGATTTTAATTTTGTATGCTGAAGCTTCTGGACAATATTGGTGGAAGGAGACTAAATGGGTTTTGATTATTTTGCAATTATATGTATATATTTGTTGCAATTAGATGGAACATAGAGATATGGAGATAAAAGTGATCAGGCAGCCGAAATGAGAAAGAAAGAGTGAAATTGTAATTATTTTTGTGGGCCCATTAAAATGATATTTAAGGGAGTTGATTTTGAGGTTTTAATTGATTTAATTATTTTTAGTGAGGTGGCCGAAATTGGAAGCAAAATGGGTTTGGTGTTTTGATTTTATATATATATATATATATATATATATATATCATCTCTTGAACGAGAAGCAAAAAGGGATGGCTGCCGAGTTTTTTTGTGAAAAAAAGAGAAAAAAAAAAAAAAAAAAAAAAAAAAAAGGGAAAATAAAGAAAAGGAAGGAAAGATAAGAAATGATTTGGTGGGTGCCATTCATTTGACTTGTTGGTTACATTTTCTTAGGCATTCATGTGGCTTTGTCTGATATCTTTTGGATGGAAGTTGTATTCTTTGTTTATGAAATAAAAATAATGAAAAAGGGAGTAAGATGGTTAATGGTCTTGCGGGTCCCATTTGAAGAAATATATGGGTTTTGGTTTTTGTTACTTTAGTGTGTGTGTGTGTGTATATATATATCTCTTGTCTGAAGGAGCTTGCAGCAGCGGGAAAGTTGAAAGAAAGAAATGGAATTACTGTAATGATGAGTAGCTTTTTGCTTTTTGACCAAGTGCATTGTATAAGGAAAATGTGACGATGGAAAAGTGAAATAGAAGGTTCCAGCAGAAATAAGAGACTTTTTGGCCAAAGGAAAAGATTTATCTAGTGGAGGCGTGGGGTGAGCAATACTGATGTCTATGCTGTGTCGGTTCATTTGCCTTTATATATATATCAGTATCTGCCTTGTGAAATTGAGAATGAATTTGAGAGCATAAAAATATTGAGGAAAGTTAGAATTATACAGAGAGAGTTTTAATGAAAAGTTCACAAAGAGCCGGAAGTTTGATGCCCAGATATTACAATGATGATTATTATTTTACAGTGTAGGGATCATCATACCTTTAATAGCTTGGATGATTTTATTTGAAATATTTTGTTGATTGTTATTTTTCTAAAATTATATATATGTATTTTGTTTAAAAGCATATATATATTTTTGTAAAGTAAATTTATCAGGAAATTCCTTGAAATCCCTGTTATGGTTTTTCCTACTGTCTCACCCCCTACAGTTTCAAGTACCAAGGATGGACTTGGATTGCTAGTTGCGGGTTTAGGTGGAAGAGTTGGTGTTGAGTATTAATTTATTTATTTTGAGGGATGTTGTATTCATTTTGAGGATTATTTTATTTATTTAGAGAATTTTGTATATTCATTTTTGAGGAATTGATTTAGTGTCAATTTAATTTAATTTGAGATATTGTATCTTAATATTGAGGAAATTGATTTCGTATCAATAAAGGATATTTTATTTATTTGAGATCCTGGGTGTCTTTTATGAAGTATTTTGATTTAATGAAATCGAGGAATTTATTTAGAAAAAATTCGGGGTCGTGACACCTAGTTTATTGGGTTAAGTGAAAAATATACTCCTACAGTATGCTTACAATGTATTTCACACCATTTATGTGCAAAAAATATTCCTAAAGTTTCAATTTGGTACCAATAGGTCCCTATGACAAATTTAAATTCTAAATTGACTAAATTACCCTTACTGAACCATTTTATAAAATATATAAAAATAAATAATTTTGTAAAATGACACTATTGGAAGATATCCCACACGTGCAAAAAATACCCCTAAAGTTTCAATTTTGTGCAAATAGGCCCCTCTGACAAATTTAAACCCTAAGTTGACTAAATTACCCTTATTGAACCATTTTATAAAATGTACAAAAACAAATAATTTTGTAAAATGACTGAAAATGACACTATTGGAGGATACCGATAATGGACAAGTAAAGATAAAAATATAAAATAAAAATAAAAATAAAAGTAAAGAAAAGAAAATAAAAAACGAAAATAAAGTGCAAACTAAAGAAAATAAATCTGCTCCAAACTCCGAAAACCAGTGCACACTGATATTGGAAATTTTTTTCCTTTTTTTTTTTGGTTTAAAAAAAAAAAAAATAGTAGAAACAGTGAACTAAAATCTTAACAAATTCAAATCCTTGTTCTACAAATTTTCAAAGTTAAAAAAAAAAAAAAAAAAAAAAAAAAAAAAAAAAAAAAAAGTAATGTGCACATAACACCTCTATACTTTGATATTAGGAGAATATATATCCCTTGGACATTTTTGAAAGAGTAAAAAGGCAAAATGGGTATTACAACACTAATTTATGTCAAGAGGGATATTTTTGCACAATGTGAAAATATTAGGGATGTTTTTGCACGCTTTTTCAAATAAGGTAAAAGTGCTACGCGGAATATACTTCAAAGGTATTTTCTTCACTTGTCCTCTAGTTTACTTTAGATGTAGGTAAAATAATATTTTTAATTTATATTAATTTTCAATTTTATTTTATTTATTTATTTTATTTTATTTTTTCTCATAAGTTATATATGGTATGATTAGTTTTAATTTATTTCAGATCAAGTTTATTTTTAGCCATCAATTTCTTAAAACGTATAATTACTAACCATTTTTAACAACCACAATGACATAAATTCAAACATACTAATAAGAATCCATAAATTCAAACATACTAATAAGAATCCAAACATACTTCACTAACGCTAATAGGAACCGATACCATTTCACTAACGCTAAGCCTAGTGTAGACAGGGTGAGTATTGATTTTTTCTGCTCCACCAAATAAAAATTCTTCTCTCTCTAATAAAAAAATATAGATATAAGTAGCATCACTTTTGAAATTACGCATGCGACATATATACATATATAAAGTCAATTGTCCTGTCCTTTTTAATGATTTTTGTCTTTTTGTGAATCATTGTCGACATTAATGGGAATTAATGTACGTTCATCTGTTTGAATAAATGACTCTTTAAGATGACAACTTGTTTTATTTTCTGTGGCCCTTTTTTTCTTTTATTTATTTTATATTATAATAGATTACAGACACATGTATATATAATGAATGGCGTGAATGTTTTGGTCACTTTTGTCAGTCCCTATTATCTGACCAACGTGAGCGATGATGCAATGGGAACAATGCCCACGTTCCACATATTTATACTCCTCACAGCTCACTATGAGTCCAACCGGACACCGTAGGCCAAGCTCTTAATATCTTGTGGGAGATCCTATTTTTCAAAGTGTTTGGTCTCTCCTAAGAGCCATTTGGTGCTGAATTTGTAGTTGGGTTCAGATAAAAATGGCAGATGTGCATAAAGAGCCACTGCTGAAGACCTATTACTATGAGAACTGCCCGGGATGTAAAACTGATCAGCTTAAAGCGTTGAAGAGAGGCTTACCTATTAAGGAACTGGTCTCTATATGGATTGTGGTGCTTTGCACAAGTGACCAATCGCTTATCTCTCTCTCTCTCTCTTGTTTGTTTGTTTTTTTTTTTTTTTATTATTATTATTTTTTTTTTCCCTTAACAAATTAGGGGAGGGATTGAAAAGTTACTTGCTCTGTCAGCTAAGTCACTGAGTTATGCATGAGTATTTGCCTCCCATGTTAGTATTATTTTGTATTTTGACAGCAATAGGCTGCATGGTTTTGGATTGTTATTGATAATATTTTATGTCTGTGTGCTTATTTGTACATGTGCGTAGAGAACAAAATTATCTCCTATGTTCCTCATTCACAACATTTTTGCAAAGTACTTTACTAATTAGACGGAATATGACCACGTTTTTACAAAAGAGGATTTTAGTCCTTGGTGGGTGGGGGTGCTGAAAACTGTAATTTTCAGTAAGAAGTAATTACTAATTCAAAAGCTGAAATAGGGGTTATTTTGTAAGGGAGGTCTATAAGAAAGTTGATATGAGGAATTAATCTTTGATATGTGCCTAAAACATGAAATTATTGGATGAATTGGGTGCCATAAAGATGAAAAATGATATATGTGTGAAGTGCAGCAATCGGGTGTGGTTGGAAAGAACGAAATGTTTTTTAAGGGTGCTAATCAAGTTGCAGGCTAAGACCTATAAGTGGCTAAGCCCAATTGGGACAAAGCAGCCAAGTTGCAGGCTAAGACCTATAAGTGGCTAAGCCCAATTGGGACAAAGCAGCAAACATTGGAAAGGAAACTTGTTATATTATAGATTATGCATGCAATTTTTCTCCACAAAGTGTATATTAGAAATTTGTTAGTGTGAATAATACTACATTGCTGTAGGAGTTTTCTGTTTGTGTCAGATTTTTCTCCCCTATTGGTGATGCACTTTTTATTCAAAAAATTCTTCTTGTTTGGAATTAAAAGATAAGCTAACATCATCTACTTTATACGACATTTAAAACCCTTAAATATTGATTAAATTTGTTGCTTTGTTGAAAGTTGGATCATTAAGCTTGTCTTATATTTATATTTTCTGTAGTTTTCTTTCTCCTTTTGTATGATATAAAATTGGTGCATCACTTGTATGAGATTTATCTGCTTCGTAATGAGTTTTCTGTCATTTATTGACCCTCTAATGCCTTTTTTTTTTTTTTTTCAGCACTGCCAATATCATCTCTTTTTCCATTCCTCTACTTCATGGTGAGTATATAACATCTTGGATTTGGTATTTTTTACCTTTGACATGTGTTTCAATATAAAGAACTCTAGATTTAATTCATCATTTTACATTCAGTTAAGCACATAATTGTTTCCTTATGGATTGTTTTGAATTTAAATAGACGATTTAGGGCCTGCTTGGTTCAATTTTTAAAAAATTGTTCTCAATAATTGTTTTCGAGAACTATTTTTCAATTCTCTGAAAACAGGCTTTCAAATAACTGTCAACCAAACAGATTTTTGTACAATTTTTGTGTACATATCTCGGGTACTTGTACCTTCAATTGCATTATTCTTGTGTTTAATTATAATGAAGTTATCATGTCCCAAGTTGACTGTGCTTGCTGGATTTTTAAAAAGCAATCTTGGTTGCCAGGGAATTTAAACTTTTGAACGTGCTCACATTACTTAAAATAGGATAGGATTTAGGATATTTTTTTTTCAATTTCTGCTGTACTTTTTATTTAAATCCTCTATCTGGAATCTTGTTCCTTCACATCTTGAAAGAAACATTGTGATATCAAGGTTGGCGTACAAGATCAAACACAAGTATTGTCTTGCTGTAGTAATGGAGAAAAACAACAGAACTTTAGGGTCATCGCAACCCTCCTAATTCTGTTTCAAAAAAAATTCCCAATTGAAGGGGGGTAAGGAGTTCCAATACGGTGTCTTGCGGTTTCCTTTAATATAAGGTAGTAGTCACGTCTTGTTTATAGGAGAATATAAAGGTGTGGAGAATAATAAATTCACATTCACATGCTAAGAGTAATGTGGCCAAATGGAGGTATTGACATATCTATGGAGAATATATAATGGAAAAATAGTGTGTTTTGAGCAAGACATGTGGCGATTGTGTGTCTTGAGGTCACCCTCATGTTTCTCTATTTTGGAGATTATTTAACATATAAGACACAGAGGAAGTAAACCTTGACAAATCATTGATTTCAGCATGTTAATCACTATCCACTTTAAAAGCTTAAGCTGTTGGAGAGGGTGTAACTTTATTAGTTAAATCCTTCAACACGCTCCCTCATGTGTGGTCTTCTTTTGGTCCAACACGTGTTTCAATTTTAATTATTAGGGTGACGGTGAGATTAGAACACAAGGCCTTGCCTACTGCGATACCATGTTAACCACCATCTACTTTAAAATCATTAACTATTAGAGAGGGTTTTACTTTAATATTTAAATCCTTCAACACAGCTATTAAGACACAACTCCTAGGATGCCAAATTAACCATGACACAACCCAGAGGTTATGCACTCTAGAGGCGTTTTGTATCGGTTGTGAGCTCTATACTAAGAAACTTAAATTAGGCCCATTTTGCAAAATCAAGTTGAGGCATCACATGTATTAACTGTGGAATTTGGATTATTGTAGAACACTATGGAGATTCAATACATGTTGTGGTCCTGAGGATCATTTCAATACATGTTGTGGTCCTGAGGATCATCATCTAGTAGGTGATATGCGATGAAATGAAGATGTGGCACACATGTCAACACAGTGTTGCTGCATGGTGTGGTTACGAGTGTCACAATAAAATCAATGAGGGAGATATGTGCTGAAGTGAGGTCAGATTCCCTTATTTAACCCCCAAGCTGACAGAGATTTGTTGCTTGTTTTGGTGTGCCTCGACTGCATTATAGGAAATAAGTGCATGCTAGAAATGTGATTAGGAAAAGGCTTTGGTGGTTGTAGTAGTAGTTGTTGCTAGAGAAGTAATTGTCCAACCATTAAGAAAATGGATTTCTTATGGCAGTAAGTCCTAAATGGCATAAAGAAATGAGCCATCTCAGAGGGGGTACTCCAAGTGCCATTGGCAGAAAGGATGGAGCCATTAGACAAGGTGCGTTGAGGTTTGTAGGTTTCTATCAGGTTTTTCCCAATGCTAATGACAAAATCTTATGCCACTAATATATAACTTGTGATTGCCTCACAGTGAGGTCATAAGCTTGTTATGCGTTGTTCAAGCTAAAAAGGTCTTGAATGTAATGAGTTTGATGCATGTCCAGAGGACAAGACATTAATAATCAGGGAAGTGTGAATCTCTCAATGCGGTAGTTAGGCTTAATGTGGAATATTAGCCCTAGCACGGAGTGTGGTGAAGAATAAGGAGAACGATGGTGCAAGGTGTTAGACCCTTGAAGGCAAACTTAAACCACGGAATAGCCAAAGTTGGCCTCGACAGCCAACTTGGGTCCATGGTTCGAAGATGCGGATGCGTCTGCCGACGTGGATGTGAGACCGTATCAGGCGTAATGTAATAGAATCATTTATCGTGGTTGTGAAATTTTATTACCTTGCACACCATCAGATGTGCTGACTCAGTTGAGTTGGTAGAACTCATAAGAGATTCGGCTGATTCCCTAGGAATAACTGGACTTAGACTAGGCTGAGTCCGAGTCCATTACAACTTGGATGAGTCGCCAAGACTCTGCTGATACAGGGAACTATGCCCGGGGCACAAGTGGGTTGTCAGTGACATTTTTGTGAATATTCCAACAATTAGAGTTGGGGTACACCTTGTAGAATGGAATTGGAAAAATATGGAATCTTCTCCAAGCCATTAGAACGCATTGCAACAACTCCTCGAATTTTGGAGGTCCCTAAAATTTATTGTGGAATTAAAACTCCTAGAGTGGCGTTCATGTCTCTTCCTGCCAGAGCCTTGACTTTGAATTATGCACATATAGGGGGGGTGAGGTCTCACACCCTCCAACCCCTACCCCTACGTGGGGGTGCTCTTGGGACCACCTCACCTAGTTAGGCAAGGCACACTTTCCTGAGGCAAGCTTGGGAGGTGCCAACATGCATTGGACATGGTTGTGCAGCAGGTGACGACGGTTAAATGAGTAGGGCGTGACCCTAAGGGCGGGCAACATATGGGTGCACACCCCAAGCGAAGGGGCATGACACGGCAATCACATATGGACTCTTGGTGGTGGCAACTTGCCTAGGGCAAGGTCATGACGTGACGGTGCATGTGGGCTACACTGGACATGATGGCATGGCAAGCCCATTTGTGGCTGATGGTGGCAGCACATTTTAGTCAGAACAAACTTCTTTCCTCCTACAAATTGCTTCTGGTCCCTTTTAATTATTTTCCAAGTGCAGCTGACCTAACTTTGGAGGCCTTGAACGTCAAATATATACCAGAAATATTAGTTTTCGAGTTCTCCACTATGTTTGAGGAATGTCGGTCATGCAATATTTATAATTATGCTTCTATTTATCAGCTCTTTCCATAAGAGCTATTTTAACTTCATTTCAACATTTTTATTTTTTATGCTACCATTTTATGATGTCAGGATATTATTATTAGCGCAACTTTGGGTGCCAATGTAATAATGATTGGAGTTGAGGGATTAAGGAAGTAATGTTCTTTCTTTTTATCTTGGATTCTAATTCTTCTTCTATGTAGCCTGTCTTATCCATACATAATCAGAAATTTTGATGAGCTGACTTCAATAAATTTGACTATGCTGTCGTATTTGTAATATCTGTACTCTCTGTTTCTTCTTTAAGACAACTATATATACATAAGTAATTATTTATGCATGCATATTGTTGTATAACTAAGTTTTATTTTTGTTGTAGATAAGGGATTTCCATATTGCAAAAAGAGAAGAAGACATCGGTTACTATGCCGGTTATGTGGGTGAGCTAATTTTCTTTTCAGCTTTTCAGCATTGATGATACACATCAATCAGTCATCACTTTTTGGGTTGCATTCAGGGTAGTCCTAATAAATCTTTTGATAACATGAAGGGTCCTCATTTATGCTTGGAAGAGCTTTGACATCTGTTTTTTGGGGCATAGTTGCTGATCGATATGGTCGAAAACCAGTTATTATTATGGGAACTTTCACAGTGTTAGTATATTAACTTGTGTGAATATTTGCAATTAACTTGGCTATTTGATTTTTTGGAACTATGTACTATCTATTTTGCATAACAATCTTGATTTTTTTATTTTTGATTTTTGGTTTTAGGGTTATTTTCAACACTCTCTTTGGTCTTAGCGTGAACTTCTGGATGGCAATCGCTACAAGGTTTCTTCTTGGAAGCTTTAATGGTTTACTTGGACCAATAAAGGTATCCCTTATCGAATATCCATTTGATTGCTAACACATAGCTGAATGATTATATTTTAGATAGTTATGTTTGCTTTACATTTTGCTTTTTTTTGTTATATTTAATTCAGTTTCATCTTGCATAACTAGGTTTATGTTATTTTTTTGCTACTTTTTTTGTGTATTGAATTCATCTTGTATTGTTAAACATTTCTCCATCACCAGGCCTATGCATCTGAGATTTTCCGTGAAGAGCACCAAGCTTTAGGACTGTCAACAGTAAGCTTTTGTGGTCTGCATATACTAATAGTTCTTAAAATTGGATTACATCAATGCATTTGACAGTGTTAATTTTTATGTCAGGTTAGTACTGCATGGGGTATAGGTCTGATCATTGGCCCAGCTCTGGGAGGCTTCCTTGCCCAGGTACATCTATTTATCTATTTTGCTTGAAAAGAAGCAACTCCATGGTCCAGAGTTTCATTTTCGGGATGAGCATCATTTTATTTTTATTATTTATATATATATTTTATAGAAACCTAGGCTTTAACCAACCTATATGAGGAGGGCCGGCCGAGGTCCTTTGAGGATTTAACCACTAAATGTGATGCAAATTCTTCTTCTCGCTCAACATTTTCCCCAATGATTTGTCTCTGCACAGCTGGGCAGTCTGATGCCTAATTTGCTTCCTATAAATAGGATCAACTCTTCTTCTTCTTTTTTTCTTCAAAATTGCTCTGCATCTGGAAGTCTCATTTCTTGAGTTAATACACATTTTCAGTGTTCCTTAACATGAATAATTTTAAGGCCTTCTCTAATTGTAATGCTAATGCATTACCTTGACCGATTACATTCAGCTCTCACCACTGTCACAAAAGATACAAGTTCAAAAACACGTGTGAAAGCTTGAAATATAATATAAATGCTATTTATGTGTGAGGCTATTTAATGATCAGTAGAGTCTGTTACATTTTAATTACTCTTAATTTCACTTGGAATTTGTGACTTAAGCTCGGATTAATGCTTTTAATCTGGTGAAAAGTTCAGAGTGTTACACTCATACTTGAGAATCCAAGCATATACTGTTGATCTTGGCAACAACCTTTATTGCTAGAGAATATCTTTATAGGAGAATCCGATAATGATGTAATGGCTACACTTCAAAATCAAAAGATTATCCAAAGCGAACACTTTGGACAAAATGGACGCAAGCTAGTGGTGTTTTGTGTGACAAACGAATACCATATAAACTAAAAGGGGAATTCTATAGAACATAAGCCAACTATTTTATGTAGTGTAGAATGTTAGGCGGTAAAAAAGAAGCAAGAATAAAGAATTCATGTAGCAGAAATGAGGATGCTAAAATGGATTATGGGAGGGACTAGAAATGATAGGATTACAAACCAAAATGTGAGGGAAAAATTAGGTGTAGCACCTATTAGGAACAAGATTAGAGAGAGTAGATTTAGGTGGTATGGACACATACATAGAAGACCTATAGATGCACTGGTGAGAAGAGGAACAATTATCTGCATAGAGGGTAGGAGGCAAAGAGGGCGTCTGATATTATCATGGATTGGAATTATTAGAAATGACTTTAAAAGTTAAATTTAGAGAACAGATGGCTTTTAATAGAAAAGAATGGAAAAAGAGAATTCATTTGGCTGACACCATTCATACGGGGTTAAGGCAAGGATGATAATGATGATAATAATGAATATCTCTTAAGGAGTTATTTAAGCCCATGATAGAATATTGATAGGAGTTATTTATGGGATTGATCTTAAGAATCTCTCCATCAATATATTTTTCTTATTTATCACATGTTTGTATTCTTTCACCTATAAACAGCGGTGGTCATTATAAACAAAATTTAAGAGAGAATATAATGAAAGAGATTTAGTCCTTTGGGCTTTGTGTGCCATGGATGTAGGCCGTACTGGCTGAACCACGTTATATTCTTGTGTTGTTCATGCTTAATTTTTCTCTTGAATTTTATTTTTCTTAATATTTATTTTACAATCACTTCGTACACAATATGTTATTTTTAAGATGTGAAGAACTTCTAAACTGAATTCCTCCCAAATGTGTTATATGATTATTCATTTGTCTCCTCTTTATGCATGGTTTAACATTACTAACTAAATTATGTTTTTTGGTGTTTGGTCGTCAAGCCTGCAGAGAAATATCCATTTCTGTTTTCGAAAGATTCTGTTTTTGGGAGGTAACTTTGCTTCCATTGCTTTGTATTGTAATGATGCAGCTCAAATATCTCATTTCAAAACTTGCTGTCAGTGTACTAAATCTATCTTGTTCCAAAAATCCACCTGTGATGCAGATTTCCTTATTTCTTACCCTGCCTCAGCATATCAGTTTTTGCATTGATTGTGACCATTGCTTCTTGTTGGCTTCCGGTAAGTTTCTCTGTTAATCTAATTTGCATGCCGTTTATGTTATTGTTGTCTTTCAAAAGCATCTTTCTCATTCTTGTCACTTATTTTATCTCAACTTCTGCTTGGGATCTTTTAATTGAACAGAGCTTGCTAAATTTTATAGTGTAGCAATAATAATATTAATTTAATTTAGTTAAAATAAAAATTGACGTGTTAACAATTGTGTAGAGAGACATCTAGACTTTATATTAAGTTGATAAAAACAATTTCCCTTTATGTTAAAAACGGTATGATGTATAATTTCACCTTACTTTTTCTTGGATAAGTTTTGGGCTTCATTGATGGGGTGGTGGTTCTAGTCAGTTCATATTTGGTAGCATGGACCCTATGCAAACTTCAAATTATCCATGCAATTTAATGCTTGTAAAGTAGTTGGATCTTGTGGGTCCCATCAAAATCCAAATTGATCCTGAAATTGGTATGGGAAATCAACGTTTAAAATGGAAAGAATGTGTTCAAGTCCAATGCAAACCCTAAGTGATCCATGTAATTAGAATGATAGAAAGGATATAAAACAATCCATATCAATGATCTTATTCATCCTCAATACTTTAGTCTTGATTTCTCTCATATTTTCAGCATTCTTTTATTTTCTTAGTGTATGTATTTTTCTCATGAAGTTTATTGATTAACTTATATTGTAACTTTTCTGAGTAACAGGAAATAAAAATGTAATGTGTTTGTATCTTCTTCTTTTGTTTTTTTGAAATATTTCCTTGTGAAATAAAGTCAATGTATGCGTAATACAAATGTAATCTATTTATCTATTATGTAACATACAAGTCACAGAAATAAAAGATTTAGTGTTTTATGGTATCAAAGCAAGATAAAGCAAGATTTTTTTTCTCTTTTTTCATTCTCATGCCTAGTTTTTGGCCTACCTTCTCGAGGCTGGTCAATGGAGGTTATGGTTTTAAAATAAGGTTTTGTGTGACAAAATCATAGGGTAGGACCTTAGGTACATTTATATGGAGTCGTCACATAACACCGAGTTTTAGTGTGTTAAGTCACAGTTTGGAGATGAGGTTTTGAAAACAAATTGAGAAATTGATTTTGAAAATCATTTTTAAAAAAAGGCCCAACGTAAACGGGTCATCGCTCCATAATGATCTATGTGTACTGATATTTAGAATATTGGGGGTTTACCAGTTCTAATGGAAGGTGTTATGCCCCCTTAAAACATTTGTGAAACACTACTACTATATTTGATTTAGAAAGTTGAGTTTGGATTTTGAAAGAAGTATGAGACCCGAGGGAGTATTGGAAACATGGGGTATGGGACACCATCATGGTGTATCCTTAGTGTCTACCTCAAATGGAATCCATACCTACCTAAGTCATTATGGGCTAGTTGTTAGGTATATGAGTCATATGTTGGAAAATTTCTATTCAAAACATGTGTTGTATTGTGTCAAAGTATCTCGAGTCTTCGAGTACATTTGTTAAAGACTAAGCAGAAACAGATTTGCATATAATACAATATGAAATTTGCATCCTCAATCGCATGTCTAGAGCACAGGTAAATTGACTTTGAAAGAACTTATTTCACCAAGATTGATCTAGGGGAGGCTCAATGTTTTGCTTTAAATAAGTTCTTGGAAAAGGGCTTTTAAAAATTAAAAGATTTCAACTTATTTAAAAATTGAATATTTATTGGAAAACAATGGATACTGATCGTAGTATAGAGAAAAACAAATTACACTCAGGTGAAACTTTTCAAATTTCTTGCAATGACGTTAATTTTTAAGGTGAAATTACCTTTATACCCCCAAAAATTTCAGCATAAAAATATCAAATTTCCCATAAATGAAGACTTTAGGATTTTTTGATCATAACCTGGTCACCCCCATTCTCTCTCTCTCTCTTCGCCCACTGTAGCTGCCACAACCACCATCCCTCTCCTCTCTCTTCTCCGCTCTCTCTCTCCTCTCCACTTCATCCTCTCTCCACCCACTGTCGCCGTTGCCGCCACCACCGATAACAAAACAACCATTGTCACCACTGTCGTTAACCCCAACACGTGGAGCCCTAGCCAGAGCAGCACCGTGAGTCCTCGGGCTTTGTGCCACCGATCGCTGTCGCTCCTCTTCCTCCACCGTCACTTGACCTCCACCTGGTGCATCTTGGGGAAGTTGCTATTTCACTGATTTATCCTGGCAGCGGCACCACCTCTGTTCCTTTTCCACGGCCTTTCGCATCCTGAGACTGAATAATCATCTCAACACCAACAAGCCAGTGGCTTAGCGGTTCCAAGCCCCTACTTCTCAAAGAGAGGTCAAGGGTTCGAGCCTCAGTGGAGGCATGTGTGTGTGAGTACCAACTAGGAAAAAAAAAATAATCATCTCAACATCTTCGGAATCAACTGACGATGAACTTATGGCGCAAGATCAACACTAGGATACATAGCAACTCAGTCTCTGACTTGTCCACTTCCTCTGTGTTGTTTCTAATATTATTAGATGCATTCCTATTGCAATTGCTTAAATACATTGAAAACATGTCTGAAAAACTTAATAATATATAGTTCTTATAAATGTATAGCCTTCTTATATTGGCGATTAATATGTTAAACGCAAGTTTCCACAAGTGTCAATTCAGAAATTACCTTCCTTGTATCACAAAAATGAGCAAAAGAATCTGTGTGTATTCCCTTTAAGTTACAGTTCCTATAATTTTCTTTCTGGCTCTATGCTATTGATGTCATCACTCATCAGTCTCCATTCATAGATCTGTGAAAATCTAAGTGTCTTCTCTTACTAAATTAGACTAGAATTGTAAAAAAGGTCTCAGTGTTCTCAGTCTTACGCAATTAGTACTCCACCCTGAAAGCCATACAATTGATGTGACCTTCATCCCACCATTTATGCAGATTTGTAAAATCTACAAATCTAAGTGGCTTCTCTGGTTAAGTTAGACCCTAATAAATTCTCGGAGTTTTAATGTTATGCATCTAGTACTCCATCCTAAAAAGATGGAAAGGGTATTTTTGTCCTAAAATATGAGGTATTTTAGTAAATAAATGCTATTGTAAAGGTTATTTAAGCAATTTCAGATGGAGTGAGGGCATTTTGGTCAAATCACCTTTCTTGTTTCTTTTTTTTTTTGGATGGTGGGGGTAATAGTAGCAAGTGAGCAAACTTAGGGGAACATGATGCAAAATTTTTGAAAAGTTTCATCCGAGTGTATTAGGCTAAACCTCAAGGGAGGTCAATGTATTTCAAAAATATATTATTTGCAAAAGGGTTAAAATATAAATAGGGTTAAAATTTAACAAAGGTTAAAACAAAATATATAAAATGCAAACTTAATAAAGTCTCAGAAAATTAAAATATAATACAAATAATCTAGGATTAAAGGATTTCTCAAAATGACATTTTTTTCGATATTTAAGATTGATGATGATGTAATTAGTAGGATCTGAACATGCTAGACAATGGAAGCAGACTAATGGTGCTTTATGTGTAAGAGAATACCAAATAATTTAAAAATAAAATTTTACTGGATGGTCATTCAACAAGTTGAGCTGAGTGTTGGGTGTTAAAAAATGGAAAAAGATTATCAATTAATGTAATTCAAATGAGAATGCTGAGATGGATGATTGGAGTGAGTAGAAATGATAGGGTTAATAATTAATCAAACTTGTGAGAAAAAAGTAGTATTAGTGACGGTTACTGGTTAAATAAGAGAATGTAGACTTAGGTGGTATGTACATATACAATGTAAATCCATAGATGCACCAGTTTCGAAAGAGAGACTAAGAAGTAAGAGACAAAGAGGCAGACCCAAACTAGCATGAGACAAAGAGGCAGACCCAAACTAGCATGGGGTGAAGTAATAAGAAATGATTTAAAAATATATATTTATATACAATTGGAGAAATGGCTTGTAAACTTGTGATAGAAGAAAATGGAAAAAGAGAATTTGTGTCGCCGACTCCATTATATGGGATATAGACAAGGATGATAATGATGTGTTAGATAAAATGTGCCTTACTTTTTATTCATGCTGGTCCTTTTCTGTGGTTGATCTTTAGCAACTAGTTGTTTACCTTCATCAATTACTCGCATTGCATTGGAAAATCTTTTCTCTCAGTTTGCCCACAAATTTCCAGCCTCTTTATTTAGTCTAAATTACCAGGATCTTATCTTTTCCCTTGGGATTGTAATGCAACTAGGAACAATTAAAGATTATTTATAGCATCGTAATTCTTTTAGTTTTTATATTTTACTCGTATAAGACCTGATTTCACTAAATCTGACTATTTACTGCAATTTGGTTTCAAATTATCTGGAAAAATGCAGGAAACTTTGCACATGCACCATAAATCACGTGATAACTCAGCTGAAGCTCTTGAGGCTGCTTGCTATGGATCTAATGCAAAAGAAATAGTGCAGGATATTGAAGAAAGAGAACCTACTTCTAAAGAAAGCCTGCTCAAGAACTGGCCCTTAATGTCATCTATCATAGTTTATTGTGTGTTTTCACTTCATGATATGGCTTATACAGAGGTAGGTTCCACAGCCTAACTTTTGGTTTCTGAAATGTGGTTTGATCTGCATACTGTTTTATCAGATGTCTTCCATTCTTATATTTTGGTTTACTACCCATGATTTCAACCCCTTTGGGATTTAGCATTTTGTTGCATGGCTTAAAAAAAAACTCCCTCTGGCACAGTAGCTCATATATAGTAATAATATGACAAAAGAAATTTTCTTTGTAATGGCAAGGCAGAAGTGACATGGTTAGTTACACATAAACAACTGAAGTGGAGGATTTGCTTCTTTAATATTGGAAGAAATCATCATAAATAATCATAAATAACTTATGGTTGATCCTCCAAAAACAATGTCTGCAGAAACTGATCACAAATTAATAGCAATTTACATTATGAAACTATGAAGCAGCTATCTTATAGGAAGTTTATTTTTTAGAATGTAATTTTTTGATAGGAAATGAGTTTGTTGAAGTAAATTTTCTTCATTTAAGTGATTTTTCTATTGATTAAAAAATCATGGCTGTGGTAACCGATTCCTGTTACGTCAATACCAATACACCAGATATGGTCACACTACTACCATTACAGATATATTATTACCATTATGTACTCAATTACTACTCCATATAAATGGAATGTTGTAAAGGAAAAGGTTTCCATCTATCTCACTATGATCAGGATATCCGATTTGGCTTTTTGTGTTGGACACATATCCTGTATCCCTACCAGTGTCATGTTGACATGGGTACGTGAAGGAAAGCAGGAGAGTTGACATGCCACTGCTAGATGGTAATCAATCCCAACATGCTCGGAGAGGTATGGTGTAGCAGATCAATAATTCTGAAAATTGACGCACAAGTTGTGGCACCGAGCCTCTGTGATGTCTCACGGAGTCAGGACGAGTAAGTAAAATCCCGTTGACTTGTACCAGTTGAGCATATTCTTGTCCCGTTGACCTGTTGAGTTAGACTCATAGCACTTCCTTATCTTCTTGCATAAGTAGCAAAAATAAGTGTTAATGTCCTTGGCCTGTTTTGTGTTTCTTTTCTGACATTGTGCAGTTAGCCTGTCTTCTGCATTTATGATAATCTGGCGGTTAGGTGTCCAAGATATCCGTTAAAATTGAATAATTGGTTTACAAAGTATATGCACAACTAATTGGAGACAAAGAATTAGCCGAGTTTAGATTTTTTGCTTCATGAGAACTAAGGGTAACATAAGTGATAAGACAGACACCATACATTCTAGCATAAAAACAGTGTCCATTCAAGCAAATGAATTTCGGAACAGTCTTCTACTTGGTAGAGGGCAAGCTAGAAACAGATTCAGGAATTTGTACATTGACTCTAGGATAGAGGAAGTAGCCTGGGTATTTTCTACTGGAGCAATGCCTTTATGTCAGTGGGTGCCATTGAATCTGATGTAGTGTATTGTTCGTCAGCCTGCTTGGTCCCATTAGTTTGGACTCTTAGGAGTTGAAGGAGTGACTGGAAGACTCATTTCTTATGAATGATGAACACCGCTTCATGTTATTGCTATCATGCGTAAATACTCCTGTTTTAGAGTCACAAAAAATGTTGATGGTGATTTATGGGTTCTTAGCCAAGGAAGTAATACGTGTAGGATAGTGCAGGAGTCGTATGAGTTTGAACTTGGTCTGGTGGGGCACGGGGATCTAGAGAGGGAAAGAAGGTTAGCAGTATTACACCTATGGACGTGTTGGTTTTGCATGAGGGACAAGAGAACACAAGAGTTGATATACTTGCTACTTGGTGTTGTATAACTGCTCATATATAGAGAGTCAGAGGGTTGTACAGCCAACTTGCAAGGCCAGGACATGTGACAGGCCAAAATAGCAACCTGGACATACCAGCTTACCGATCAGAATTTGTCAGCTCCGTAAAATCCACTGAGCATGACAAATCTCCCAGAGGAGATGTGCTCTCTCTCTCTCTCTCTTCCACTGACCAAAAAGCAGTCTCTTGTCATTGAGAGTCTTGAGATCATGAGTTTCCCAAACTCAAGCTGTCAAGCCACTGGATTCCAAGGATCCTATGTGGTCTGTTGTGTAATGTTCAGTTCACCACATTGAGGTGAAGGAGTTCCTTGGAATGCCAATGAGATGGTCCGAAAGAGGGCACGTTGCAAGCATCCCAGATGGTATATTCTCAATGCTTGCACCATGGGATGGGCTTGGAAGAGGGCTTTGGTGAAAGTCTTTGTACAAGACCACCTTGGTGATATCCCAAATCAAGGTCCCCTAAGGTAGGATTTTTGTTGGGTTTGCACAATTGTTAGGCTTACACACATCGAAGAGCTGGATCCACTTATTATTGAAGGTTATGCCACTTGGCCTGAATGGGAGGTGACGCATGCTGATCACAGGAGGGACCATTCAGTGGTTGTCAATTGGAATACATGGCAGCCTTAGGCGCATTACCTTTTTCCCTTTCTTTCTTTTTGGTTCTTATTATTGTCCCCTTTTCTTTTTCTTCAACAATGTTACTTTTACCTTGTTTAGTATCACTGCCATCTCTTCTAATGCAAGTTTTAGTTCCCTTATAGTGTCACTTTATTACCGTTATATATTCTTAGAACCTCATTTTAGCATAAAGTCTCCATGTTTTCTGTCAATCGATAAACACCATCTCAAGTTTTTCTCTTTTAGTCCTGAACTTTTCCTTCAGTTGTAGGAGAAGATAATTTTTTAGCGAAACTTCCTGTTATATATCTTTTTTCATTTCTTTTTGAATTTTCATCTACAGCTGTGCAAATTGTAATGGCGGAAAGAAAAATATTGAATGAATAGTATAGTGAAGATTTTTCATTGAACAATTAATTAGTTTAGGCATATTGATATGCACTTGAGCAGTCAATGAATTTTTTTTTTTTTTTCCAGTTGCCATTTTGCTCTTATGGAGACTTGAACCCTCGACCTTCTACTTTGGAAGGTGAGGAACTGCCACTAGTCTACAGCCCTTGGTAGCAGTCAATGATTAATGGCATTTATATCCTACTCTAAAACATAAAAATGTCACTTAAGCTAATATTGGCATCACTGATAAAGTAATCATGTTTCTTTTTTCACTATTTTTTCATTCTAATACATATGATTTTCTTTTTCTTAAAATTTTGTATCTGATTGTCTTACTGTGAATCTCTGACAAACAATGTCCTTACAGATATTCTCATTATGGGCTGTGAGCCCCAGAAAGTATGGGGGCTTGAGCTATTCAACTGAGAATGTTGGTGAAGTTCTTGCAATATCAGGTATAATAATGGATGGTATCCCATCCATAAATTATTAAATATGGTCAAAGCTTTATTTTGCATAAAAATGTCACGGGCTTGAGAATCGGTTTCTTCTATTGCATTTATTTTTTTATTTCTCTTTTCTCTTTTGCATTCAAACATGAAGAGAATTGAACTCTGTTGAATTTAGCAGGATTATAGTTTCCTAAGCAAAATCCGGCACCACTTAGTTTAGAAGATAAAAATGGAAATTTAAATTTGTATCAGAAAAATATGGATGCCTTTATAAATGATGCCATAGAAATTTCCTTTTTACTGTTATGGAAGAACTTTCAGACGAATCGCTAAGGTGCTTGCTTAATTTCAACTCTCTTAGCAGTCTACAGACATGGAAATTATAGATTATCCTTCTCCATATCCCTCCTTATTGTCCTCCTTGCATTTTAATCTGAAAAGACAAGATGAATAGGAACAAAGATGTAATTTCAGTTTGAGTCCTTACTGGTACTGCTACTTGTTAAAATATTTGAAATTACAGGGACATGTAGAACAGACAGTGTGTCCTTTTCCTCTTTAGTGTAATCAAACCTAAAGAACTGGAAGGTACTGGATCAATTGAGGTAGGAGGCTCTGTTGTAGAAAAACGAGATCAAGGACAAAGTTGAACTTCTTGAGTCGCCATCTCTACTTCTTGAAGGATCCTGTAGAATTCAGAAATAGACTCGAGTAAGCTGAGATTCAATACCATCATCACATACCAATTTATCCTTCCAATTACTAGGAATATTTTATCATATTATCAAATACACCGTTAGGAATCTTATGCCTTTATTTCTTTTTTGGGTCAGATTGAAATGTATATGGTACGATAACTCTGTTCTCTCTCTCTCTCTCTCTCTCTCTCCCTCTCTCTCTCCCCCCTCTCTAGTCGAAATAAACATATTAGGTAATTTTTTATTCTTTATCGTTCTAACATGTAATACATGTATTGCTTAATATACATACACGACCTTGTGTTGCTAACCACTTTTTCAATTTTTAGGTTTCGGCCTTTTAGTCTTTCAACTTTCTCTCTATCCTGTTGTGGAGAGGATTATTGGCCCTATCATGATAGCTCGCATTGCAGGAGTAAGCAATCAAACCTTGTAAAGCCCAATGTACTCTCCATGTTTCCAATTTTTATGTTAACATGTATTTATTCCTTTTTTTTTATGTTGCCCTTTATTTAGGTTGTAGCGATACTTCTTTTGACAAGTTACCACTATATAGCCATGCTATCTGGATTCAGCCTCTCATTGGTGTTAAATTGCGCATCTGTGATGAAGAATGTTTTATCCGTAAGTGCATCTAAAACTTCAAGATTCTACTATCTAAACCCCTCTATGAAGTATGCTATATATATATATATAGATATGTTTGCTAGTGTTTTAGCAATGGTAAAGTTATAGTTAATGCTTATTATCTTTTGCAGCAAATGTATTATTTATTTTTAAATTACAAGCTCCATTTTTTATGCTTCTGCCAAGATGATTAGTACTACTTATACAAAGTAGGTTATTTCCTCAGACAATTGAAGGGAAATAATCATCTACATACTAATAGCTGCATGAAAAGACACCATAATGCTCTCCTCATATATTAAAAACACTTGGGTGTTATAAGAAATTATGTATGGTATAGTAGAGATGCATATAAAATATACTGAGCTGCCGCTGGCAATAGTAATTTTTTCTTATAAAGTCCCAGCCGACCTTGTCATGCCGGTTCTGCTTGCTCATGAGAACCGTAAGATGTCTACACTAAAATTCAATCTACTATTCCTGTCTTTGCTTTCAGTAGTTATGACCCTATATACAGTAACCCAATCTCATTGATCTCATAAGTATCATACCAAATCCTATCAATCGGATCACTTTTTCGAGAAATACGAGACATCTAAGTCATACAAGTAAAGAGATCTATTCATCGATAAGAAAAAGAAAAAAATGTGATCGGGGATTGGATTGATGATAAAATAGAATCCTGGGTCGCGAACAGTGATTCTATTGATGATGAAGAAAGAGAATTATTGTTTCAATCCCAGCGTTAATTTATTGGTCCTATAACCACACTCTTTAGTTTTACTTTTTTTAGTTGGCATTTTCTCTTTGATGCTTTTTCTTTCTTCTCTTTTGCTTTTACAATGATGCATCATAAAAAGCACCACAATCCAACATTCTTGACCATGTTTATATGTGATTCCTGTTGCTGCCATAACCTTTTCTCCTTTTCAGATAAGTAATTTGTTCCTGAAATTGGATCATTTTTTGCTTTTGTTTTACGTTTTGTTCTTAGATATTTATTAATAGATAGCAAGTGGAGTTGTCTGATAGATAGGTTGATCAGAGTGGTATATGCTATTGGAAGACGGTCTGGCTGAAAGGGAATGTGTTGGAGCAGCGTAAACATGCGAACATCGAGATCCAAGGACAGGCAACAAAGCAATCACACACAAATACAAGATATAATACATGGTTCACCCAAACTCAGGGCTACGTCCATGGGTGAGAAGAGATTCCACTATGATTCATAGAGATATTAGAACAATAGAGTACCAACACCAAGTGCATGTCTTTTCACCATGTACCACTCCACGAGTCTTATCTCCTCACTACCAATGTCATTGGTGTTTTTCATACTCTACCATCCTATAAACTACCTCTACTCATCAACTCCCTCGCGAGACTACATCTCTCTCAATCTCATAAGTCTCAACCCAAAGCCTATATATCTATTTATAGAATTCCAAACCCAATTCCTTGTTGGACAAGGATTACAATTTCTTAGAACCCAAGACTTGCTTGAGAATAAATTTCCTAACATAATACAACTCTAAAATAGAAACCTAATTGGAATAGGAAATTGAGACACAATTTTCAACAGAATGCTTCTTAAAAAGACCGTTTGATAGTTTGGCATTGACTCAGACATTACAGTAACAATTAAGAACGCAGCGATACGAGATCGTTCTGATCACGATTGCATTAAACAGACCTGGGGGGTGGGGGAGGGGGACTCTTAGCATTCTAGGGCACTCGACACCAATGGACACACTGGTGTTTATAGAGGAACGACTTGTTCCACAAATCTACAGGCTTCTAATTTATAAAAACTCAGTTTAGGAAACAAATCTTGAGTATATTCCTGTGATCAATACATGTAGCACTGCAATCAGATCAATAAATGAACAGAGTCACTTCGATCGTGCCTACAGAATTTTTTTTGATTGATATTTATACTAGTTACGATTGATTGTACCTATGAGCCTTCGATCCCCAAGTTTGTAGTTCACATAAGGTTCTAGAAAAACATTTTCTTAATGCAGAAGAATGTCTATGTTCTAGGAAACTTGGATCCATGAATGCATATTTGGAGAACTTTTTCTTGATGCATAAGCAACTACCTAAGTAAGTGTAAGAAAATCTTGGAAATTTAGCATATATAGCTTGTAGCATGTAATCTTTCTTAATATGAACAAGGAAAGTATATGTATATTGTTGGGACAAACGTAGTGAAACAAGAACAAAACAATAGCCATGCAAAAAACGGAGATTACAAGTTTTAGCCCTCAAACCCTAGCTTTCGCTCTCACTCTCACTCTTACTCTCTCTCTCTCTCTCTTGCAATTTTTAGTGTTCTCTCATTGTCCCACTCCAAACCCTAAATGCCCTTTATACATCAGTCTACAATAGAGTACTAAATAGGGTCCATGACCCGCAAGAGAAAAAATGGGTCAATTTATTTCCCCATTTCAAGTTAAAACTAGGTCGCAATGTGACCCGGGCCAAAGCAAAATTCGGGCCGCACTATCACACACACACACATATATATGAGTAAGCTCTAGAATCTTAACCTTAACATATATATAATATAAACACGTGCTAAAACACGTTTTCCTTTTTATGCATATATAAAAAAATATATAAAAAGTATAAGAGTAGGTTCTAAATGCAATTTTCAATTTTAATGCATGTAACACATGTATGCATGAACCTAGATGGTGACAGATGATAACAAGTGTGATTTTACCTGTTAACCTTAGACTTGAAAAGATGAAACCTTTACTATTTGTAGATGAAGCTTAACATACATGTCCTTTTGATGTATATTCTTCACCAAATGTAGTCTTCACACTCAATTATATCTAACTACCTATTTATAATTCACTCACTAAAAACATAAAAAATTACAATTCGTTGAGCAAGTTTTGTTTTACGAAATTTGCCAACACAAGACTTGAATCCTAATAATCCTAACAATGCAGTTTTTGGCTAAGTGCAGCAAATGGGAAGGCAAATGCCTACGAATGATACATTTGTTGTGAAGATGGGATTGAAAAGCAAACAGTTGAAATTATTGTATTTGTGGGCATGTGAACATTTCAATGCTATTGATACTGAATAATCCAAATGTTACATGATGTGAAGAAGAACTCAAATGGATACCAAATCATGCATATTCAAATGCGTTTGTGAACAATTTACTGGAAAAAAATACATTTATGAACAAAAGACTGCATACAAGTGCTTTTACGGTTGCCATATGATCTTCCTATTATACTAATACAGACATATAACTTTGAGTGAATTTTATAGTATTTTTACCTGAGTGAATTTTATAGTCATATCATCAGAAATGGTGATTTTCAGTCTTCTACTATTCAAGAATTAATGTTTCTCTTGTAACTTTTAACTGCTATCAGGTGTCCATTATAACAGGTTTGTTCATTCTGCAAAATAATGCTGTGGTAAGTTTTTGTTCTCTTCTTGATTTAATCTGGTTTGATTCCCTTCCCATTCTTTTCTCTTCTGTGTCAAACAACCTTTTCTTACCCGTATTATGTCTTTACTTGACTTGACCTGATAATATCCCAACAGGATCAACACCAAAGGGGCGCTGCTAATGGCATTTCTATGACTGCAACATCACTTTTTAAAGCAGCCGGTCCAGCTGGAGGAGGAGCACTGTGAGTGCTTTATTTTTTTAGCTTCTTTTTCTTAAGTTTTTGAGAAACTGGTAGCACATGGAAAGCTACTTATATTGGGTTTTCGAAGTGTCAAATGGGCTGCGGTACATCAATAATAGTATATAATGTGCATGTGGAAATGTCAAATTTCTTTATAACAATTTTACATCCAACTTGGGGTATTGTCATAATATTGATATGGATATTACAGTTTTTAATTTTTTGGAGTTTCTGAATTTGAATAAGTACTCATTTAGGAAAAAAAAGAATTTGAATAAGTACAATACGATCTCAGTTAGACTAGAGGACACATTTGGTTCATCTATAGTGGGTTTGATTTAGGGTAGAGGGAAGGAAACTATTTAATTGTTTGAGCAACCTGAGTAGAAGTTTGATTACCTTAAGACAATGGGTGAAATTGTGAATTTGATAATAGCATGACTTTATAAAAGGAATGGGTGAAATTGTCTTAATAAAATATAAAAAGGGATGAAATTGTCTAATGAAAAACAATTACCTAAAATATGAAACCTACACTCAAAATGCAGTTTTAAAAGCCAGAAAGTTTAGCTCGTTCAAAAGCTCTACAGAGCTAAAATTGGTAACCAATAAAGTGATTTTAATGGTTTCCAAACACATCCAAACAAAAAATTTATAAAATAAAAGTGCTTTTAAGTGGTTGAAAAGCAATCCCAATCAGGCTCAAAGACTTGTGGAGTTGTGCCCACACACTTTACGTAAGCCCAGAGAGTTACATCTAAGACCATCTGTGTGTGTGTATGTGAGAGAGAGAGAGAGAGAGAGAGAGAGAGATCAAGTTTCCTCTGTGATGCACTTTGTCTTCAGTGCATCCTTTGGATTCTTCACTTTCTCCTAGGCTGAGCTGGCAAGTGTTCGCTTTCCAGCAAACTTCCACCTGACTAATAATATTATTCATGTTTATGTCATCAAATGTTTTTCTAAGCTAGATTACTCTATTATATATAGAAGCTTAATAATATATGGGACTAGTTGTAGCATTAGCACTTTGATTTGTTAAAAATGCATTAGCACTTTGTTTTGTAAAAAAAAATAAAAAATTGCAGGTTATGATGATACCATGATATGAAAGATCTTCTTTCCACCTAGCCAAATGAGTTGTTGCATATGAAAGTAGTATTATGGACGGATACATAGAAGCCATCCCATTTCGTTCCAGGCAAGAACAGTATAGGATTTTTGGATCTGAGCCCTAGTGCCCCTTGTGTTTGCACTCACAGCCCTAGGCCCATGCTGCCACTTCACACTCCACCCCGACCATCAAACCCCCCCTCCCCCCCACATCTCTCCCTCCTTGGTTTTCATCCAAGCAAAGCCTCCATTCATCCCTACTACCACCATCTACTGTTATTATGGAATACAGAATTTATAAGAACAGAAACATACTATAAAGATTAAAACAATTCATGGATGGTTTAGTTCTCTGAACAGTATAAGATTAATTTATTGGCATGTCCTTCCAAAATAATGCTATTGCTCCAGTGTCTATATTTTTGCCTACACTATTTTGTAGTTTGTCAAAATATATAGCACTAGTACTATATAATAACAAGTTATATTGCAAATTATTTATCTTTTCTATTCTTTAATATTAATCATTTATTTATTTTATTTGAATTTGGTTGATGCAGTTTTTCCTGGGCACAATCGCGTCTTGATGCTGCATTTCTTCCAGGTAATTTCTTCAGCTTTATCATATAAATTTGGACACTTTTTGTTATTATGTCTAATACATCTATCTGTAAGTTCCTCCTTTCACAGTGGGTTTAACAAATAGATTTACAAAATGAATCCTAAACATAAGCATTAGAGCAAGTTCTGAACATTGTGGCTAGTTGTTCTTTCTTTTTCCATATCTTTTGTTTAAAGAAGACTTATGTTGTGCGAGATATTCACCTGTTTTCAACTCTTTATCAGAGAAAAACAACATATTAAATCATTGTTCTTGATACCAGTTCTAACTTTCTTTACAGATACATTTGTGGTTTTTATTGTATAACCTTAATTTCACATTATATTGATCTTTCCTAAATTACCCATACTAATTACATAACTTCCAACTTCAAAATCGATCATCTCAATTATTAATGACGTTCACATTTCCAAGCGTGGCTTAATTTTGAGAAATTTTATTGGTCATAATTGGTCTCTATGGTCTCAACTTACCTTGACCTTTATATTTATGTGATTGTGTTTTGAGAAATTTTTTGCTGTGTTCTTTGCTAAGCTCCATCTCCATCATATTTGAGGTTGTATACAAAAGAGTCACAACACTAAAACACATTAGAAGTTTTGAGTAAGAAATTGCTAACACGTGACTCATATTCCTAACACAAGGTTTTTAAAACATATTTTTACTTTTAAAAAATTTAAAAACCTTTCGTAAGTATCCAAAATCCTCTGAGGTAAATATATAAAGTTTCTCAAGTTTCAAACCCCTCATGGAGCACATTGTTTTAAGATATTCAATATCCAGTCTTCAAACCCCAAATTGAGCTTCATTTCCATTGGCAAGGTGACCAAAATGAGCAACAAGATTCAGTTACACTTCGTTCAAACACCCTAGTATAAAACTCAGACTTGTTTGTGATATCTTTGCTGAAAATTCTGTTTACAAAGCATTTCCATAAACTAACTTTTTTCTATTCATCAATTTCCATGGCATTGTATGTGTACACATCAAGTATGACATTTTATTCTGTTTTCAGTAAATCTACCCTAATCCGATATTACCCTTATCATGCCATATATTCATATTTATTATAAGAAGTTAACACTTGCTTATTACCTATTGCTATCCAGAGTAATGTTTATTTCTATCTGATATTTATTATAACATGTTCTGTACTGGGTTTCCGTTCTTCCATCTGATAACCATCCTAATTACAATCAATGTAGGTGACCAGATGATATTCTTCTTCCTGAATGTAATTGAGGCAATTGGAGTGCTGATGACGTTCAGACCATTTCTAGCTCAACGAATGAATAGAAAAAATCAAACATTATCTTGAACTTCAAGCACCGGTCAGAATGCAGGTTGCTGGAGTCTCTTCAACATGATTCTTTTGCTTAGTCTTTTTTTATTACATATGATGTAGTGATATAAACCAAAGCACTATTTCTTGAACTACCGGTCAGAATGCAGGTTGCTAGAGTATCTTCAACATGATTCTTTTGGTTGGTTTATATCGTATGTAATAAAAAAAAACGGGCTGGTGCACTAATTGATCAAAAACAGTGTATTCTTTCCGAATGCTTTAGGTCATTGAATAATCTGTATTTATGAAATTAGAATTGTTTCATGAGAGACTGTAGGATTTGATATCAATTAATTCATGTTTGTGAAATATAGTCAGTATAATTCATTGTTTCATGATATATTTGCTCCTGGAATAGATGATGGTATTCATTTCTAAAGGAATGTGTTACATTTAACCTAAGGAAAATCCTTTAGTGTGCTGTGTTGTCTACAATTCAACTTAAATTTTTTCATGGCAATGCTGTAGACGGATGCGTTTTCTGACCAATAGATTTGTGCTCTGGTCCTAAGGCCACAGCAAAAGGTTAGTAAGGACCGCTTTGTCCAATTTGATTTTATGCTAGATCGGTGAATAGCCCTGTGAAGAATAATTTAAGACAAGAAGAAGAAAAGAGAAAATACGGGAAAGAACAACAGAAGAATATTACGTTGTTTAGTCATTAGGGCTCGTCCACAGGAGAAGAGAGAAAGATTCTTCTCGTTCAGTATGTCTCAATGGAGATTACAACAGCATAAAAAATATTACAATATCATCTCAATTAAGGAAACTTTCCATAGTGGTATCAATTAAGGATCACGATATAAGAATATAAGGAAATTACTGCTAGGGTTCACCATATCAACACAAAAATAGAACAAATCTAACAAATCTCTCTTCTCCACCAACACTCCCCTTCAAGTTGGTGCGAAAATATTGATAGAGCCCAACTTAGACAATCTTTCTTAAAGCTTGACAGCGGGCAAATCCTCGGTAAAAATATATTGTTGGTCACTGCGAACAAAAGGAGTACAAATAACATTGGTTTGCACGTTTTTTCAAATGAAATGACAATTCACCTCAATATTTTTATTTCACTCGTGATAGACTGGATTTAAAGCAATGTGTATTGGAGCTTGGTTATCACAAAATATTTTTGTTGGTAATATTTTGTTGGTTCAAACGAACTAAAACCCAAATCCTGCAATAAAGCTCAAAGCCAAATAACTTCACTTCTTCTTGAAGCCATTGCTTGATATTTTGGTTATGCGCTTGATCGTGCAGCAATATTCTGTTTCTTACTCTTTCACGTTACCAAGTTACCTCCAACAAAGGTACAGTACCTAGTTGTAGACCTTCAATCAATTGAACACCCAACCCAATCAGCATCAATGTAGGCAGTAATAGAATTGTACTCATTCTTATGCATTAATATGCCTCTTCCTGGTGATCCCTTCAAATACTACAAAATTCTTTTACAGCATTCATGTGATTAACTCTTGGTGCATGCATAAATCTGCTGGCCAAACTAACTGCATATGAGATATTTGGTTGAGTAATGGTTAAATAAATTAGTCTACCAACTAATCTTTGAAATTGGCCAACATCATAAAATAATTCACCTTCATCACCAATCTTGCTACCACTATCAGTGGGAGTGACTAAAGGTTTGACTCCCAATTTTCTAGTTTCCCATTAGAGATCCAAAACATACTTTGGTTGATTAAGAAAAATGCCCTTTTTTTAGTAGGCAATTTCTAATCCAAGAAAATACTTTAAAACTCCCAAGTCTTTAATAGAAAATTGCATGTGTTAAAGAGTCTTGAACTTTGATATTTTATCTCATCTTCGCAAGTGATCACTATATCATCAACAAAAATCAGAACAGCAATTGTACCAGAAATACCTTTCTTGACAAATAGAAAAACATCTACAACACTCTTTTTTAACCCATTGATCATGAGAACAGATCTGAGCTTAGTGTCATGGGCCTAGAGATTGGCGCAGCAGCACGGCCCGTGCGGCACCAAGGCATTGTTTCAGCTCGCGCAAGCGCCCTGGTCAGCCACCACGACCTACCCTTCCAAGGATACATGCTGACTCGTTTCGGCCTGCCTTGGCTTCGTCAGGGGAACGGCTCCAGCTCCTGACCAATTTGTACAGGAATTGCCAACTCCCTTCTTCATAGTCAAGTCTACAACCAGCGACAAGCTCCTCGCACTCAGCCGAGTCGACCTGCCTGAACTCTGAAGAGGTACCATCCTGTGCTCCTACACGCCCCTTCCCTAGAACCATTCCCAGTCAAACTCTGCTCTTTGCCAACCAGCATGCATGTCTTCCATCCTCCAAGCGTCTTAGGAATCACTTCGTGACATTCTCCCCCACCCAAATCCTGCGACGCCCTCGTCGCAGTGCGGCGCTTCATTACTGCGTCCACTCCCTTCCAAAGTCTGCCTCTATGCGGTATGCTCGCCTTCCTACCATTGTTTCCTTGTGCAACTCCCTGCACTACACTCGCCCAATGATAGGCCTCGGACCAAGGGGACGTCCACTCCTCAAGAACGTGGCTCTTCTCCGTCATGCCGCCTCCGCGACATCCCGAGAAAGCAAGGGCCTCCTGCCGACTTGATGCTCGCCCTTCACCATGGTTTGCATCACCCAAGACTAAGCACGAACTTTGGTGCGCGCGGCCCTTTGGCCCTCTAGTGTGCAACTTCAACTGACACCTCATCCTGGTGAGATGGAGACTCTCCCCCCACTACATTGATTCCTCCTCATCGACACAGCTTTAGTGCACCGTCTTCATTCTCTGACCCCTCCCGGACCGACAAAGGGGCACCCCACCGTGCTTTACCCTAAGTCTTGCTCTGATACCATTTGTCACGGGCCTAGAGATTTGGCGCAGCGGCACGGCCTGTGCGGCACCAAAGCATTGCTTCAGCTAGCGCAAGTGCCCTGGTCAGCCACCACGACCTGCCTTCCAAGGATACATGTTGACTGGTTTCGGTCTGCCTTGGCCTCGTCAGGGGAACGGCTCCAGCTCCCGACCAGTTTGTGCAGGGATGGCCAACTCCCTTCTTCATAGTCAAGTCCACGACCAGCGACAAGCTCCTCGCACTCAACCGAGTTGACCTGCCTGAACTCTAAAAAGGTACCATCCTGTGCTCCTGCATGCCCCTTCCTTGGAACCATTCCCAGTCAAACTCTGCTCTTTGCCAACCAGCATGCATGTCTTCCATCCTCCAAGCGTCTTAGGAATCACTTCGTGACATTAGCATACCAAGCTCGTGGAGACTGTTTAAGCCTATATGTAGCTTTTTTCAGCTTGCAAAGAAAACCAAATTTGGATTCTTGTGGGTGGCACTCATGTAAACTTCTTCTTCTAAATCACCATGTAGGAACGCATTTTTAACATCTATCTAAAAAAATTTCCAGTCTTGATTCACTACCAGAGATATGAGAACTTAGAATGTATTCTTCCTGGAAAGGTGTAAATTTCTCTATATAATCTTCTCCATAGGTTTAAGTAAACCATCTAGCAACAAGTCTTGCCTTATATTGTTCCACGATTCCATCACTTTTATATTTGATTTTGTATACGTAACAACACCTAACTATTTTCTTCCCTAGAGGTAATCTAACAATATCCCATTAATGGGTATAACCCAAACCCAACCCAATACCGAGTCCAAAATACGGAAGCTAAAACCCACATTAGCCTACTTGGATAATGTGACCATGAATTATATGTCAACCGAAGACCATTTAGGTCATACAAAACATTTAGAGACATCTTATAAGGTTCTAGACCCTAGAGGAATGGTTTCATCACAAATCATTATTTTTCTCATAAAAAAAAACATAACCAATCTTCACTAAAATAGTCATAACTCTTTCTATGTTCTGAATTTTTGAATGAGACTAGTACCATTGGAAATTTGACTTTGAGACATTCAATTTGAACACACACGAATGACCTAATTTGGATTTTAAATGAGTAAATTTTGGCCGTTTGAAGCCAGGGGGTTGAAACGGTGGGGATGAATTGTAGCGCAACCGATTGTGCAAAAATGCAACCGGTTTTTGCAGGGCAATAAACCAATTTTTGGAGACACAAATGATGCGCAACAGGCGCGCAACTGGTTCTGTAAGCCTAAGGAACTAAAACAAGGTCCAAAAATGAGTTTTTTAAAGGAACAAAGCTATGGACACCTTCTAAATCTCATTAGGAATATCCAAGAGATTAAAATGGTGAATCTACCCAACATAGGGTATCTAAATCATGGCAAAAACACATGTGAGCCAAAAATGTGTGTGCAAAAAATCATGAAGATAATTAATTTAAGGGAGAAAACCATACATTGAAATATAAATGGCTTCATGGCCTCGTTACATCAATTATCCTCTGAATCATTAAATAGGTTACAAAATTCTACATTATCCAAGTATACATATAGTTGCCTTAAAGGCCCCAAGTAGACTACACATCAGTTACACCAATACATATCCACAAATATCAAATATCGTCAAATACGTTATCCAAACCAAATAAAAGTAGCATCCTCTCTAACATTGCCTTAACCTGAAATGGGAATCAATATGGGGTGAGGTACAATGCTCATTGGGCTTTATGCTAGGTAAATAAACTATATTTCTTTGGCCTCATAAGAGCAGCTTATATCATACAAAGCAAGGGGATGTGCCTCTTAATGTTTAGTCTCAAGGAAACCTACCAAGGGATAATCCTAGGCTAGCATATGAACAATTCATATAAATATGCAAGAGAAGCAAACATCTCATCATAAAGAACCACACTATAAGCAAACATAAGCATAATAATGAAATAGAATAAACCACAAGTTGCATTACACATGGATGCCAACTTGAAAGTAAGATTCGAAATCAATAAAAGGGATAATTCATAAACATACCCACACTCCAGGTGTTATGCGCCAATAAAAATATGGTCGTTCCGGGCTATTAACCTAGCCAAAAACCAACCGAGTGGCCACTAAAAAATGGAGAAACTCATGTTTCACCCGCGAGTGCTAAGCCCTCGTTGTCACAATAACAAATCCACAGAGTATATCCCAAAAATCATCAATCAATTCCACAAGGTAAATATTCATGCCAATATATGATCAAATTTCACCTCACAAATGCACGTAAGCAAAGATTAATCATACAACACATGCCTTAAAGTCCGAAATACTACAATGGCATGCAATCTAATGCAAATAACCTCAATGAGATAGTATATGGTGGTTACCTCAAATTACATCATGTAAACAAGTTCATCATACAAGACATGATAGGCAACAAAATTAACC